ATAAAATCTCAATATCATATCAGTCCACAGGAAAATCCCTTGTTCCAAATGGTTCTGCTTCCAAGCAGCCCTCAACGTGTTTTTGTTTGGATGCTACTCCCCTGTTTCGCTCTCACTCCATTTACATATACATCCATCAAATTAAATGAGAATCAACCCAATCAGCATTGTTATTTTAAATTTGGACTGCATTTTCTAATTTAAAATCTCAATATCATATCAGTCCACAGGAAAATCCCTTGTTCCAAATGGTTCTGCTTCCAAGCAGCCCTCAACGTGTTTTTGTTTGGATGCTACTCCCCTGTTTCGCTCTCACTCCATTTACATATACATCCATCAAATTAAATGAGAATCAACCCAATCAGCATTGTTATTTTAAATTTGGACTGCATTTTCTAATTTTAGAAGAAATTATTTTCTTTAGTAAGACCATCTTAAAAGCACAGGATCTAATTCAAAGGCAGCTATCAATTTTCTTTTGTCACATCTGTCACAGGGATAACTTCCTGATCTTCGCTGATAAAAATCTGACACTCTCGCTCTCATATTCGACTCATGTCATGCTTACAAAATGACAGGGTTGCCAGAAATTATTGGGACATGATTCACATTTCACTCTACTTTGTGAGCCACCCCACTTCAGGAGCTCTTAAGAGAGACTGCATTTTCCTGCAAACAAATGAACTGACAAAATCTGCTCTCTTATGAGTTGAAACAACACCATTCATTACATGTGAAGTAAAGCATCTTTTTTCAGAATTATGAAATTTGCAAATTGTGATTTGCTCAAATTTAATTGGAAATTTGATGTCATTCTGGGAAGACACAAAATACAATCTGTTTTAACAAACCACATTTTAGTGACAATATATACTCTCAGTTGATTATGTATACTCTTAGCCCCCAAACTCTTGCAGATCTTGTATTCTAAATGATAAAAGTAACAGAAGAAATTAAGGCAGGGGTCTACAACCTAAGGCACTTGAGCCAAATATAGCTCAGTATGGAACCAAATATTGCTCTTTTGTCATTCCCAAAATATTTGCAACTTTTTAAATTGACATGAAAAATTCAAACACACATAATTACTCATGTAACTTGAACCTGAATTTGGCCAGTGAGGATGTCAGCTTCAAAGAACTATATGAAAAGATGCAGCAGCAGAAGTCCCATTGAATTAAGTCTGTGAGTACCATGTTTCATTTATGCTATCACCATGTAAATTAAGTTGTATATTTTCAGTCATGCAAATAGGCGTTCTTATATGGCTTTTTGTTGATCACTTGTTCCGAGTTTTGATTTAGATTGGCTCTTTGATCTGAAAAGGTTGCTGACCTCTGAATTAAGGTGTATTTGTAACACTATTAAAGTGGATTTATTCAAACCTTTTGGAATACCAGGGAAATCTAAGGAAGATGACAAGTTTATATACATTGGTTTTTTTCATATTCCATAAATAAGACCTGCAAAGAATTTGCTTGGTTTTGTTTTAAATTGGGCTTATTCTCTCATTTGAATATAAATATGGCCTGAAAAATTGTCAATTCTTTTAATCCTGTCTTATTTTATCTTCGAAAAATTAAGAATATTGATTCTGATCTTCCATGGAGGACCTTTTTTCAAAGGCTGTCTCTGCACTAGGATTGGGTTGCAAAAGTTATTCACTCTTATAGCGTCATAGGTATTGGCAGAAGTGGGAACCCTAAAATCCAGCAGTCATGTGGCATGTGTACTATGAGCTCTCAAACTTAACTGATTCTTTACAGAAGACATTCTTTCAACCATAATTGCATGCAGTGTGGATCAAAAGCTGTTCGAGTTATAAGGTGGATGAGTTAAGAATTTTTTGGGAGAGGGCAATCTGATGAGAGGCAAGCTTTCAAGCTTATACCACTCAAATGAAGAAGGGCTTGAAAATTTCTCTCTCACCAACAGTCCAACTTGTCTCTAATATCTGGGACCACAGCTACAAAAATACTACGTATAACAATGGAAGATGCTGTATCTTGATTTCTGAAATGGAAGCTCCACAACATGAAGAAAAAGGATGCAAAACTTAGCATCTACTTCCTTATCAAATGTAACAAAACAAAAACATCCTGTGACAGTCTGTACATTTATGTCCACCCCTCTTCAAGGATTAGGATAAATCCTGTACAAAATATGCCTTGTACAGCATAATTTGAAAACTAGTGACTCACTGATTTTAAAATCAATCACTTTAAAAGTTAATAAGTCTGTTTTATTGCTTTTAAAATCAGTATGTTTGGACTGAAGTGTTTGGGAAACTCCCTTTATAATAACAGAATATATGCATATTTTCTATTAATGAGATGATGTACAGCCCAGTATCCTAAGGTCCAAGTCGCACATTTCTGGAAGCAAGTCTGGGACTGGAAGATTTCTATGTTGCCCTGTAATATAATTCAAGAGTGGCTGACCATAGTGCACATACTATCTACCTGGAAGAGATATACATGTCGGAGGCTGTTTGAGAACACACTGGGGTAGTTGATCTCACAGCAAAGCAGTGAAAAGGCATATCAGGTTGCAGCACTGAGGGGGGACACTGCCCATCAAACCAGATTGTACCCCGGGTAATGTCACATGTCCCCAGAGGTCACACCCATTATAACCCTATGACCACTGCATACAACTCCAAATATGTAGAAGAGAGACATGAAGAGCTCTGTATAATAAGCTCAAAAGTTTGCCCCTCTCACCAAGAAAAGTTGGTTCAGTAAAAAAAAAAAAATAACACATTCACTGGGACTGTCTGACCTGGCTACAACTACACTACGTAAAAATATTTGTGACAATTCAAGTTCTAATACAGCTGTTTTATTTTATTTTATTTTTCCACTAACAAGCTTATTACGCTGAGTGGTTGTTGATTTTCTTGAAAAAATCACCTATGGATAAGAAAATGTTGAAGTCAACATTTTTCCCCGCTGAAAACTTGACACCAAAATATGTGGAGTCAAGGCATGAAGATTTCAAATCAGCAGTTACAAGAGAATTTGGATCATATGCTCACCTATTTTCTTACTTCGCTCTTCTCCACGATTGTGCGCAATAATTGGAGAGTATATGAAGGGACTTTTGGCTGACATGTTCTGACCCAGCAAGCTTTTCATCTTTTGTGGTCGAAGACTAATGGGGAGGTTCAAGAGTTTAACAGATCTGTAAAATATTTAAAAAGCATTTCTTAGCTGGTTATTTTTATTTAAAAGAAACTGTTGGTAAATATTTAATTATCTATTAATCATAAAAATGTAACATCGTGTCTAATAGAAAAATGGAATATAAAGTAAGCCAAGGGTCTGAAGGAAAACCAACTAGCATTTCAGAGGAAAACTGCAAACAAGTGTTAAATCAGAAAAGTATAATGAGGAAAGGTGCCAAAGAAAATATGTAAAGGATTATTATGTTCTTAAGAAAGTAAGTCCAACTGACAATGATTAGTAAGTTCAGTTATTTCAAAATGTACGAAATTCAGGTAGCAATGTACTGTACTGATAATGGATTCTCTAAGACCCAAATCCAAGCCTTTGAAGTGAGTCTACGGTTTTCAGCAATAATCACTGGAGAACAAGCAGCTTGCTGAAGTTGGCACAGAGTTTGTGGACCCAGCTAGAACTTAGATAGAATTGCTGTTGTATCACATGTATCCTGATTATGAGCTCAACAGTGGAAAGGTAAGTGAAAGTTCCTAAGAGGTCACAGTAACTTCTAACAAATGTTGATGTAAAAAGATTATCCAGCCCTCAGACAACACAACTTTCAAGACCCATGGATCATATACATGTCTATTATAACAGGTGGCATCTCATCCAGTGCATTAAATGTCCAAATAACTAGGTGGGTGCAACCTGTACACTCTCATATGAAGTTGCAGAAAAAAACCCAGAAGACAAAAACATCACTTCACCGATAGATCAATACTTTCAACTATCTGACCTCTCTGTGCTCATCCTCAAAGGAACCCTTCAGCTTCAAAACATAACTTTTCTAGACACTAAAAATCATGGTAATAATAAAAAGTGGATTTATGATGTATTACAACAATTTGTAACCCACAAAGCCCTTTTTATTGTCCTATTACTGGAGAGGTGTTAAGAAGAAGTTATTCACTTGTGCAGTAACAAAGTTTCTTTGCGATATGTATCCCTGTGGGTTCTCTACTCCAAGTGTGGGTGCATCGTTGCACTGGAAATTGGAGATATTTTCTAGCAGTGCTTGGCCACTGCACCCATGTGAGGTAGCCATCTCATGGTTCTGTTAGCACTCACTGACTGCATGAATGGCACAGCTCCCTCAGTTCCTGCTCTACTATGAAACCTATATATGAACTCCAAAAAAGAGGGGAGGGAGGAAGGTTAGTGGAGCACCCATAGGGGGACATCTCAAAGAACCATCATTACTGCACAAGGTGAGTAAGCATTTGCTCAATTCCTTCCTCTGTAGGTGCTCCACTCTAGGTGTCTGTAGAGCAACGTCTACCTTGAACCCATGGGCTTTGGAATTTTTCCTGCAATGTATGTGCCTGTAGCCATAGAGATCAGACCATTTCTGACAGCACAGTGTTTTGCAAAGGCATGTTTGAAAGATGCTTCAGGAATGCTGTGGACGCTGCTATGGCTCTGGTGGAATGTGTTGTCTGTTCTTTGTGGTGGTTGTTCCTTATGTAATGTGCAGCAGATATGTATTCAAGTCAATCATTTGGGAGAGCCATTGGGGTGAGATTGCTTCACCTTTTGAGCACTCAACTATAGATAGTCATGGATTTATGAAAGTGTTTGTTCATACAATCATAGAATCCTAGGGCTGGAAGAGATCAAGTTCAACCCCCTGCCCAAAGCAGGACCAACCCTAAGTAAATCAACACATCCAGAGCTTTGGCAAGCGAGGACTTAAACTTCTAGGGATGGAGATTCCACCTCCTCCCTACGTAACTCATTCCAGTGCTTCACCATCCTCCTAGTAAAATAGTTTTTTCCTAATATTCAACCTAGACCTTACCTACTGCAACTTGATTCTCTCAAGATAAAGGAAAGGGTCCATGGGATGTTGAGTGTGTGAAGAGATACCTGTACAGGGCCCTTGTGTGGCTTGGGGGAAAAAAAGTTACCTCCCCGGAGGGCTGAGAGAGATATTGTTTGGCCCTCCTGTATAAAGGCCTAGACATGTGGGCATTTCTGCTCTGGGAGATGTTCCAGAAGTTCAGGTAATTTGGCATAAATGGTGTGATTGTAGTTAGCTAATTGGGTGGAATTCTAGAGTGCCTGATGAGTAAATGTTTCATCTGAATAAATAAAGGCATTTATGATCCTTGTCTTGTGGCATTGAATGGAACTGAGGTTGTTTTTCTTGGTGATGTACAACATCAACGACCAAAGAGTTTGGTTGTAGGAGGGAAAACAGAAAATCCATGTCTTTGGCTGGGACAAAGTACTTCTTATCTAGCATTTTTTTTATGGGGGGTACCAAAGTTGGCATCTGCCATTTATCTTCCAGCTCCAGAATGGCCTTGTCCACTGCTACAGCTCTCTCTGTAGGGAACAAGGGCTGCCAGATTTGTAATAGTTTACATTGCTTTTTCTTCACTTCTTGTAAGTCTATTTCCTGCACCAGAGTAACTCTTTTAAAAAGGCCCTGAAATTGTTTCAGGTTGTCTGTTGGTATCTGTGTGCCTGGGATCACCAGTTCATCAGGTGAGAAGAAGTTATTTAGAGAGGACTTCTCATTGTCTGTGGGGTCCACATCCTCTTCCTCAGTAATTCGGTGTCTTGGGCCCAAGCGGGGGGAGATGGGGAGAAGCTGACTGCTCTCTTAGCTGGGGATGAAAAGTCTTATGTCAACATTGCCTGTTTGTGTTCCAGATATCCATGGTGGCCAGTGCATGAGGTACAGTGGCAGGGGATGGTCATGGTTGCCCATACCAGCGTTGGACCAGTGAGCACTGTGAGGGCATTGTTGGTCCCAGCTCCAAACTCCCACTTCTTTGAGTAGGTGAGAAGCAATTGTCATGCCCATCTTCCTCTGATTCACTATATGCGATGGAAGGCCAGAGAATAGAGGCAACTGCTCTACCCTCCTCCAGAGAGATTAGTCAGTGCTGAGGTGCAGTGGCTGAGGTACTGTTTGGAATTCTATGTCCCTCTGATGAAGGAATGTTTTGGTGCCCAGATGGCATGGTTCGCTTTGATGCTGGCTTGGTGGTGGTAGTAGTAGTCTGTGCCAGTTGCACCCTATGTGATGGTGCAGAGATCTGCATGGACGCCAATGCCACTTAAGGACTATTTTTAGAACATGCTTGGTGATCATGAAAAGCCTGGAATCAAATAAGTGGCTCAAAAGCGATGTGTCAGGAACTAGGTTTACTCATGGACAAAACAGCAAGGAGGAAAGAATTTCTACCAACAGAGTCTTGGATTCTTAAAAAGAAAATATTCTGGACAAAAATTGGCAGGAGCAGCATCTGTTTGTCAGTGTAGTGAGCATTTTCATCCTGGATGCCATGCCTCACCATTCACTGGAAGCAGTGTTCCCTCTAAGATGGGCACTTGTGCAGCAACTCGAGAAATTCAAATGCTGTCCATCTGATTAGCTAAGTGCCCACATCTAGGTTTTGGGTTTCCTATTGGTAGTGCACATTCCTTAGTACACAAAAAAAATTATTCTGCATATGGATGGGGAAAAATCTGCACATGGATAGAAAAGCTTAGAGGGAACATTGTATGGAACCGTTGGGACCTCCTTTGCCCTTCCAGACCAAGCCAGAGACTTGGGCCCAGATGACCTCCCCCCCTGCACTGATTCTGGATAACTCTCAAATACCACCTGGCAAGTGAGAGAGACATTCCACTCTCCACTTCCTCTTCCCTTTGTGCATTCTCTTCCTTTCCCATCTTGCATCTTCCCTTTCCTATCCCACTTTTTTTTTCAGGTCTGTCCTTGGTTGCAAGTCTCTACATTTTGCAACACTGATGCAAACTACAAGCAATGTCCTAAACAGCTTGATGCTGGTACAACTATAAATGGGTGACAGTGCCTTGTGCTAGACCTGGGTTTTTCCAGAAGTGAAATTGCAAATAGAAGTCAACACAAGAAACAGAGCTTACATTTTCTTTTTCCTTTTCTCTTCTTTTTGTGTGCATCTTATTTTGTCTTCTTAGAAAACCAAATCAGATTTCAAAGACAACAGCTCTGTGCCTACCTCAACTAACTACTCTCTTCCCCAAGACTGTCAAACAATTCTCCAGCTAATAGGAAATGGAACAAGGGACATATTTAGAAAAAAAAAATTATTTAATATTTTACATTTCAAATGCTTTAACTGTTCTTTCCTTCCTGTATCTATAATAAAACCGTTTAAGCATTTACAGTGGTATGGTTGACATCGCATTAAGCAGGATAAGGTTTCTCTGCACTAAACCCAGAATCTTGTTTAAATCTGTTCAGTGTTGGACACTTTCAGAGTCATGACTCTTCGGGACCCTTTATTCCATCTACAATTAATATTGCAACGCTTAATACAAATTTTAATAAAAATAAGTTTCCAAAAAGAAGTAAAACAAAGCAGAATCTACTAAAGACACCTGAAGGATGGAATAATCAGCAATCACAATAGCATTATACTTCCCAGCTAGCCATAATTCAGTTGTAAGAGACTTTTCAAGTCAGCTTAAAATCCCAAATGTAAGAATCTTGCAAATGCACAGCTTGTTTTAAGATAAAGTGTTTTTTTCCAAGAACTCCAGTTTACAGTGCAAACTATCATGCTGAAAATTTTTGATAATGCCACAAACATACCAATGTGATTAGTGTTTCATAAAAAATATTGAATTAAGTTATTCATCAGACAAATAATTATAGCACAGACACACTGAGGAAGAGGAAATTTGTCTCATACAAATTGTCTCGTACAACTGTAAATGGCAAAAGGCCAGAGAAACACAAATTAGCCATAAATTGCTTTTTGTTGGAAAAAGGAGAAAAGCAGTTATGCTTTTGGGATATTAAAGTAATTTTGCATCCTTTAAATGAGTGGCTTGAATTATGTTATACCATCATGCAGAATCTCAAACAGTAAGCAATTATTACCAAGGGGATGGAAATAAATGTACAGACACAAAACATTGTAAATACTGCACAATACAGAAAAAAATACTCTAATAAAA